TCACTGATTATTGGATATTAGCCCAGAACCTTGAAATGCCCAAGATGCAACTCACAGGCCACATGAAGCCCATAAAGAAGGAAGACCAAGTGGGGGTGATTCGGTCCTTCTTAGAAGGAGCAACAAAATACTCAAGGGAGCAAATATGGAGACAAAGTGAGGGACAGAAACTGAAGGAGGGGCCGTCTCAAGACCACTCCACCTGAGTATCTATCCCACGTGCAATCACCAAAGGTAGATGTTGATGTGGAAGTCAGGAAGTGCATGCTGATAAGAGCCTGATATGGATATCTCCTCAGAGGTCTTCAAGAGTCTGACATACTCAGAGGCAGATGCTCACAACTAGCCATTGAACTGATCATGGGGTTCTCAATAGAGGAGTTAGAGTGAAGACTGAAGGAGAGCTGAAAGGATTTGTGGCACCATGAGGAGAGCAACAATACCAACCAACCACAGCTCCCAGGGTCTAAACCACCAGCCTGGGAGCACTTAGGGAGGGATCCAGGGCTTCAGTTGAATATGAAAGAGTGGAGGGCCCTGTTGGGCATAGGTGGAAGAAGAGAACCTTGACTGCATGAAGGCTGGATGCCCCAGGGGGTGGGAATTTTGAGGGTGGGGAGGTGGGAGTGGGGGGGGGTGTAGATAGAGGTTATATCCACAGAGAAGAAAGAGGAGGGGTGAGGGGATTGGGGGTTCTTGGGTGGGTGGGGGATGGGGTAAGGGGACAACATAGGAAATGTAAATAAACATCCAATAAAAATTTAAAAAAAAAAAGGAAGCCCCACTTATTTTAAAACCCCAAATAATTGTCCTTCTTGATTTTACCTCTCCCACTCTCAGCATCCTTTCTCTTCTTCAGATTGCTTGAAGTGACATACTCCCTTAAGGAATATGTATCCACCACTCACTTAGCTTCATTTTCATGGTCAAATAGAATTCTCAGCTAGGGATTCTCAAAGGAACATCAGCACTCCCTGGGGACATCTTCGACAGGAAAACATTTGGTTCTGTATAAGCTTTAAATCTAATGAATCAAACTCAAGGGATGGGCCCCACTTTCAAGATTTTATGAGCCTCCAGATGGCTCTGATGAACAGTGAAGTTTGAGAGTGGTTTGAAAGTGGTTTAGCTATGCCCTCCCCTATTCTGCTCTGAGAACAGCAAAAGATTTGTTATTTGATTTCCATTCCTATTTCCCCCTTTCCAGTTTAATTTCGATCCAACAATGAAAGGTGTGTGTGTGTGTGTGTGTGTGTGTGTGTGTGCGCGCGCGCACATGCGTACATGTGCGCGCACACACATGAAAAGGCAAAAGATCACACTCTTGCATTGTTCCTTCGGAGCTGTCTTCCTTGCTCTTTGAGATAGGGTCTCTCACTAGAACCTGGTGTTTACTAATTATGCTAGGCTGTCTGGCCAGTGAGTCCTGCGGATTCTCCTATTTCTACTTTTACAGTGTTGAGATTTCAAGTGTATGCCTCCAGATCTTTTTCGTTTTATTAATGTGTGCTGGGGATTGAACTCAGAACCTTGAGTTTGTGCAGCTAGGACTTTATCTTACTGAGCTCTCTTTCCAGCCTCTCAAGTAATGTTTATTTTTAAAAGTTTAAAATAATTTAAAAAATATTTTTATTGAGTTTCTATGTAGTCACATATTTGCTTAATTTTACGCTTTAATGGCTTTTAAACTGTCTTAGAATAAAAGTAAGCAGTTTCCCCATGATATGCGAGGAACTGCATTATTATGACTGCATGTTAACCTGATACAACTTATGACCTCTTCCCCCTTACTCTGTAATGGCCACATTATCTCTGGCTAAGTCTTTTAATCTGCCATCTTACTCATATTTCTCACATTGGTGGATTTCTTTCTCTTAGATCCCTCGCTTCCCATTTTCAGCATCTTCTGCCTTACCATCTCTCAATCACATATTGGAATTTTTGTATCCATGTTTCTTCAATTGTGTACCTTATAGTTGCATGCTAGGTGGTCCATTGTGTTAAATATGAGATTGCCTTTGTTTTATCTCCATTCTGTATCTACCCATTATCTATCATAGTATTTATCATAGGAAGGATATATAGGGAACAAAAGAAAAGCAATTTGCCATGTGAACAGTTACATACAGTTTTGATGAGAGATCAGTTCAAATAAAACAAAATGAGCATGTTTAGGGACTGTCACAGCATTCCCTAGCTGGTAAGGAACAGATGAGATTTCTTATGTTCATGGAAAAATCACACCTGCTAAAAACTTAACATTGGAGCTGAAGCATGTATGCTGAGAAATACTAATAAAGCACTTTAATCTTTTTTCCTAGGTGTGATAATAAATTTCTGTATAGGTCAACATATTACTTGACTCTATGCCTGGAATCATGGATGACTGCATTTGTACCACTGACATCAATGGAAAAACAGACAGGCCACACTGCTTTGTTTTTTTCTCTTAGAATTTATTGTCTTCTTCTTCTTCTTCTTCTTCTTCTTCTTCTTCTTCTTCTTCTTCTTCTTCTTCTTCTTCTTCTTCT